TTGGCTGGATATGAAATTCTGAGTTCAAAATTCTTTTCTTTAAGAGTGTTGAATATTGGCCCCTACTCTCTTCTGGCTTGTAAGGTTTCTGCCAAGAGATCCTCTGTTAGTCTGATGGGCTTTCCTTTGTGGGTAACCCAACGTTTCTCTCTGGCTGCCCTTAACATGTTTTCCTTCATCTCAACCTTGATGAATCTGTTGATTGTGTGTCTTGTGGTTGCTTTCTCGAGTAGTATCTTTGTGATATTCTCTCTATTTCCTGAATTTGAATGTTGCCTGTCTTGCTAGGTTGGGGAAGTTCTCCTGGATAATATCCTGAAGAGGGTTTTCCATCTTGCTTCCCTTCTCCCCATCACTTTCAGGTACACCAATCAAACATAGGTTTGGTCTTTTCACATAGTCCCATATTACTTGGAGGCATTGTTCATTCCTTTTCATTCTTTTTGCTCTAATCCTGTCTTCACACTTTATTTCATTAAGTTGATCTTCAATCTCTGATATCCTTTCTTCTGCTTGATTGATTTGGCTATTTATACTTGTGTATGCTTCACGTACTGTGTTTTTCAGCTCCATCAAGTTATTTATCTTCTTCTCTATACTGGTTATTCTAGTTAGTGTTCCTTTAACCGTTTTTCAAGGTTCTTAGCTTCTTTGCATTGGGTTACAACATATTCCTTTATTTTAGCTCAAAGGAGTTTGTTATTACCCGCCTTGTGAAGCCTACTTCTGTCAATTTGCCAAACTCATTCTCCACTCAGTTTTGTTCCACTGCTGGTGAGGAGTTGTGATCATTTGGAGGAGAATAGGCTTTCTGGTTTTTGGAATTTTCATAGTTTTGCGCTGGTTTTTCCTCATGTTCGTGGATTTATCTACCACTGGTCTTTGATGTTGGTGACCTTCAGATGGGGTTTTTGTGTGAATGTCCTTTTCGTTGATGTTGATGTTATTCCTTTCTGTTTGTTAGTTTTCCTTTTAACAGTCAGGTCCCTCTGCTGCAGGTCTGCTGGAGTTTGCTGGGGGGGTCCACTCCAGACCCTGTTGCCTGGGTATCACTAGTGGAGGCTGCAGAACAGCAAAGATTGCTGCCGGTTCCTTCCTTGGAAGCTTTGTCCCAGAGGGACAGCTGCCAGATGCCAGTTGGAGCTCTCCTGTACAAGGTGTCTGTCAACCCATGCGGGCTAGTGTCTCCCAGTCAAGAGGTACGCGGGTCAAGGATTCACTTGAGGAGGCAGTCTGTCCCTTAGTGGAGCTCAAGCGCTGTGCTGGGAGATACACTTCTCTCTTCAGAGTCAGCAGGCAGGAACGTTTAACTCTGCTGAAACTGCGCCCACAGCCGCCCCTTCCCCCAGGTGCTCTGTCCCAGGGAGATGGGAGTTTTATGAGACTTACTTTGGAGCTATTACCCCTTTTTTGTTTCCTAATTCTTCCTTTCAGAATGGGTATATTTACCTTGTGCTGATCCCACCATTGTATTCTGGAAACATATAACTTGTTTGATTTCATAAACTCACAGTTGGAGAAGAATCTGCCTCAGAATGAATCATACCTTGACTCTCACCCATATATGATTCAGGCGACTTTGTGTTTTTTTTTTTTTTTTTTTGAGATGGAGTTTCGCTCTGTCACCTAGGCTGGAGTGCTATGGCGCAATCTCAACTCACTGCAACCTCTCCCTCCTGGATTCAAGCGATTCTCAGTATCTCTAGTAGCAGGGATTACAGGCACGTGCCACCAAGCACAGCTAATTTTTACAATTTTAGTAGAGATGGAGTTTCACCATGTTGGCCAGGCTGGTCTTGAACTCCTGACCTCAGGTGATCCACCTGCCCTGGCCTCCCAAAGTGCTGAGATTACAGGTGTGAGCCACTACATCCAGATGATATTTTGATGAGACTTTGAACATGAAACTTTTGAGTTAATGCTAAAATGTTTTAAGACTTTTTGGAGCTATTAGAATCAAATGAATGTATTTTAAATATGAGAAGGACACAAATTTTGGGAAGCAGGTTCACAATGTTGTGGTCTGAATTTTTGTGTTTCCCCAAATTCAGACCATCTAATCCCCAAGGTGATGGTATTAAGAGTTGGGGCCTTGGGAAGGTAATTAGGTCTTTGGGAGGTCTCTGCTATTCTTAATGGAATTCATTTTCTCATAAAAGAAGTCTGAGGGAATTTGTTCACTGCTTCTACCAAGTGCAAACGAAGCTAGAAGGTGCTATCTTTGAAGCACAGAGCAAAGCAGAGAGCTAGACACTCAATCTCCTGAGACCTTGATTTTGGACTTTCCAGTCTCCAGAACTGTGAGCAATAAATCCTGGTTGTTACAAATACCCATTTGTAAGATATCTTTTTAAGCAGCCCAAATAGACTAAGACACTTCTCTTGTTTTTTCCTCAAAGACAAAGCTTCTAACATTTCACCATAGAGCATATTTGCTAAAATGTATCAGATTAAGAAAAATTCCTTCCATTTTAGCTATTAGTTTCTTTTGAAGTCATAAATGGATATTTAATTTTATCAGATGTTTCTGTTTTTTGCATTCCTGACCATCCTATAGTTTTTCTACTTTATTCGTTAATGTGATGAATTACACTGATTCATTTAAAATGTTTAAAAACCTTGAATTCCTGGTGTAAACCAAACTTGGTTATGATATGTTACCTTTTTTAATTGCTAGAGTATCTATATTTTGGTTGGGATTTTAAAACTATGTTCATAAATGATATAGACTTACAACTTTCTCTTTTTGTAATGCCCTTTTCAAGTTTTTGCATCAAGTTTTGTTGGCCTCATAAAATGAGATGAACATGATTTCATCTTTAATAATTCTTAGGAACATTTAATGTAATACTTGTACAATTTCTTTCTTTAAAACTTGGTGGAATTTACTCTAGTAGCCACATGAGCTAGGATTTTGGCAGTGGAGGCTCTCTATGAGATAGATGTCCAAGCTGTTATTTTCAAACAAGTACAAGTTATACAGAAGTTCTGTAATAACTTTCACCTCCACAGTTCCCTTATGAGGGAAAGTATTTTTTATCTGACGTATTCTAACAACCTTCAGCTTCTGAACCAGGTGATACATCTTTATAGTCTCTGAATTCTGAAGTCTCCTTGTCTTTACAGGTCAACCTCTAGAGAAAGGAACTCAGAAGATGGCTTGAGCTCATCTATCTTTCATGGTAATTACTTGGGCTAGAGAATAATCATATATTCTTACCATATCAAATAATGAAACAATAGGCTGTCCCACAGTCCATTCCTCCTCTCCCATCATCCATCAACTGTTGTTGCCAGCTTTCCCATCAAATAATATTCTAGTCAAGAAGCAAGCACTATGTTCACATATATCCTCCACACCCCCCCGAAGAAAACTCCAGGTACTCAAAGATAAGACTGTTTTCCATGGACTCCTTACTGATGGTTTCAAGGCATTCTCTTGAAGCTTATAAGACTCAGCTTAGGAAGTACAGACATAAAAGTGAAATATATAAGGTAATATATTATTTGATAAAAGTTGATTCCAAATAAGCACAGAAAGATGAACTATTCGGGAAATGGTCTTGGCACAATTCTTACTCATCAGGAAAAATATAGTTTAATACTTATTTCATATCTTATACTTAAAAAATTCCAGATAGATTAAAGCTTTAAACATCTAAAAGAAACAAAAACCATATTAGAGAGAACATAATAATTTTTTTGTTTTTATTACATTTTTATTATTATCTTGAAGTGAGGAAGGACTTTTTAAATAAGACAGAAATTCAGAGCCATAAAAGATAACAAAAAATAGAATTGCAAAAAATTCTTTAAAATATAAACCATCTTAAACAAAGTCATAAAGCAAACAAAAGCATGGAAGATCACTGCAAATTACACTATAGAGAAAGCTAACTTCCCTAATATGTAAACAGTTTTCACAAATCTCTATGAAGGCCAACAACTTTACAAACAAATGGACAAAGAATAGAAACAGAATGTCACAAAACAGGAAAAGATGTTCAATTTCACTTAAGATATAAGAAAATTTTACTGATATTATAATAACACACTACTCTTTACTTAACAAACTGACCAGGATGGAAAGTTTGATTATACATTGTTGTAGGAAAGGTTGTAGGAAAGTAGACATTCTAAACACTGTTGTTGGGAGTATAGTTTGACACAACCTCTATGGAGGGCTACAACCTAGAAATAAGGATTAACTGAAATTAAATTAGACTTTAATGGGAATAAAACCCAACTTTCAAAGACCTGATGTCTGCTTGAATTATGTTGTTCTCACCTTTCAGTAGTTTTTTAACCTAGACTGCCAGAGGAAATGCAGATACTTTCTGGAGGAAAATATCATCTAGAACTTCAAATTATAATATTCATTTCTCAATTTATAAAAAACAGAAACAACTAAGAAAAAAACCATACAAACTGGCATACATGAACATAATATAATGTAACCCAAAACTAAGAAATGTAATAGACTGGATACCAAATATGGAAATGTCAAACACATATTTAAAGTAACACATTTTAAAGTTATATATTCAGTACATTCAAATAAATAAAGAAAAGAGTGGTAATTTAGGAAGAGAACAGGATGTTTTAAAATAATCAAATGTAAGGTCTAGAACTGAAAAATAATACCATCAGATTAGACACAATTGAAGAGGGAGTTAGTGAACTCGAAAGGATAAGTCAAAAGAAAGTGAAATATAAAGAGAAAAAAAAAGAATATAAAAACAAACAATAAAGTATAAGTGTAATAAAATCCTAACAATCTCCAACTAACATCAAAATTGGGAACACTATCACAGGTTTGACTTCAGGAAAGAACAAAAAACCACAATGTGAATTTAAATTATTTTTCTTATATATTGTTTAATTTAATAAAAATCTAGCTGAGGGCTTCTTTTCATTTTTAGGACTTGAGCAGGGAACATCTAAAAAAATCAAACATATTAGCTAAATAATACATATCAGAAAAAAGTTTAATTACTTACATTCCATATGCTGAGCTTACAGCAAGACTAGTAATCTGTTGTGGAGGTTCACCATCTACCCATACCAACTGAATAACAAGTTCTGCTTGATATCCTGGAGGCATTCGCACTGGCCGTGTCTTAACACTTTAAGAGCAAAAACAATCCTATTATACACAGTTTAAATAAACATGGTCAAACTTATCTTGAGAATTTACATGGAATCATGCTACAGAAATATACAACACAGGCATTGCAGGCAGCATGGAGATGGACGGTGTCTTCTAGCTTTCTCAAAATGCACTGAGTCCTTTATGATTACTTAGTTATTTCTTTATGTGGCTTTTCAGTCAGTTAGGTCCACAACTTCAACTGGCCTTTAACATTTCAATTTTTTATTTTGAGAATATTATTTTAAGTTATTTTTATTATGTAATTATTTTTCTAATGTAATATATGTTACATATATATCAGTTATAAAGCATAACAATAAAACAAATGACCATTAACCTACCCTCCAGTATATATATCTAGCATCTGAATTCTTATTTTCCTTTAAATCTAAATATCCTTCTTTCATACTTTCCAACCAACCAATTATCAAATACTGTTGATGCTACTTTCAAAAAATATATCCATGAGCTAAAATTTTATGATGATGTTTCCTCTTTGTAGATTTTCCTCCCAGTAATATTTGCTCATATTTCCTTCTTTTTATGTGCTTCAAAAGAAAAGTTTTGAGAGGACAATCAATGATTACAAATGTATAGCATCTGCTAATTGTATGAATTTTGCTCCTAAAATCTTATCTCTAAATTTTCCATAAGCATATTTGTAAGAAATGGGAAAACTAGTTGTCTAAAGTTTTTTGAGTGGCAAATGTAGATATGCAGCTCAAAGAAATTCCCTGCTTAGGCTTAATTCTCCAGCCGGCTAATACTAGAAATATTTGGTTTGATGGTATAGAAGCAGTAAGTAGTAATTTATACTCTACTACTAAAAATCATAAAAACAATAAAATATTACCATGGGCTTGTTAACTTTAGGTTTTATTGAACATGATGTAAATCTTTGTTTAGTTTATTAATAAATAACAGTTTTAAAAAAGAAAGATTATGCAATATACTAGCAATAATGAGAGAAATCCTTTTTTCTAACATAGAACTCTTGTAGTAGATAGTAAACTTGGTTTTCTTTTTGGTTCCAAGAAAGCTAAATAAATTACATAAACATACTTTTAAAAATTATCATTATTATTTTTTTGGAGACAGGGTCTTACTGTCACCCAGGCTGGAGTACAGTGGCAGGACCACAGCTCACTGTAACCTTAAACTCCTGGGCTAAAGTGATTCTCCCGCCTCAGCCTCCCTAGTAGCTGGGACTACAGGCGTGTACCATCACACCCAGCTAATTTTTAAACTTTTTGTAGATACAAGGTCTTGCTATGTTGCCCAGGCTGGTCTCGAACTCCTAGCGTCAAGCATTCCTCCCACCTCAGCCTCCCAAAGTGTTGGGAATACAGGCGTGAGCCATCACACCCCATAAATATACTTTTTCAGTTGGAAACTACCAAGCAAGTGGCCAAGTTTCTGCCCTGCCAAACTTCCTATTCTATCAAAGCCATGTTTTCTTTAGAGTCCTTCTGGGAAGGAAATATATAAATAAGTAAATGAAGGATGAAAATATTATGCCCTCTTCACGGATTTTCAAAAAAAAAGACCAGATTAACCCCTGAAGAATTGTAGATCACTTGACAACAACTTGATAATTAGAGAAAATTAATTTTATTTGTCACAATTTCAAAGACATATGATTCATATATAAAACTGTTTTAAAATTTGGTAGAAACTCTTACTTGAGGCATGGGATACTGTCCTTTGTTACTCCTTCACTAGCAACAGTGTTAGTGCTCCCAGAAAGACTCCCTGAAGAAGGAAGCTGGGCTGAGAGATCTGGAAACGGAGGACTTGTTTCTGGTTCAGGGGTAATAATATCTTCAACATCATACTGAAGTCGTACCTCTAATGACTTAAAAAAATCAAGTTTAAATTTAATCTAAGCCACAATAATAATCATCATTAATTTAATCTAAGTCATAATAAATAATCACATTAAAATACCTGATAACTTTTTAGGAATCATTCACACAGTTTTTTTCAAATTAATAAGTTCAATACTACTTATAGTAAAGTTGAGCAGTATCTCATACTAAATCAAATAGTTAATTATATGGAATATTCAATGGCAATCACAAAAAATGTAAATTTTTAAACTTCAGAATTAAAAGAAAAATAACTCAGTGAAGATAAGTTTTTATATAATAAATATATTTTACGATATAGTATAAATTACAATTTGATATGTGATAAAATAAAATGAGAAGTTGGTTATGGTTATTCCAATGAAAGAAATTAAACTTTTTTCATATACACACACAAACATGTATGTGTGTGTGTATTGTGTATGTTTGTGTGTGTATAAAAAAATTACTTGTTTAAAGTATTTAGTATAAAAAACTTTCATTGCATTTTTAACTTTGCATTAATTCACTAAAAATTTTCCAGTAGAAATTCCATATTTTTGGTTGGTTGTTTCATTACCTTGGCTTTTGTTTAATTTAATTAGTTGATCAGAATTACTTGATAAAAAGCATATAACAATTTATATAGGAATAAAAAGGTGACCTAAAAACCTTTTTTAAACTAAAAAAGTTTTAAAACTAAATACTTTATGAATGCATAAAATACATTAAATGATTTAATTAGAGATAATTTTATAACACATATTTGCCTTACAATGTAAAAGTGAGCATTTTTGAGATTGAAAACAATTACTTACAAAAATGTCATTATGGGAATATTACCAAAATTATTGTCATAATTATTTTAAAACTATAGAAAAACCTCTGGTGGTGACAATACAGTTACCAATTATTGAGTGCTCACTACAGTAAGGACACTATTATAATGTCTTTATACAATCCTCACAAGAACCCTATGAAATTGGTATCTGTATTTCAAGTTTATTTTCCCATTTTATTTACACAGGGAATTATACACATGATGAAACTGAATCATAGCTACATTCTACTGCTGACTTATGACTTGCTCAGAGTCACACAGATATTTAATGGGAAAGCCAGAATTAAAACGTAGGTTTATCTGACTCCAAAGCCTTGGCTTTTAGCTACTATATAATAAAAGGGTGATATTAATTTTAGCTGTTGAGGTAAAAACACTTACACACAGGCCTATAGTAAATAATCTTTATATTCTGGTAAAAGGGGCAAGGTAGAGAAGGACAATTGTTTATAGGTGGCTTCATTTAGAATTAATTTATCCCATAAAATCATTATTCTTTTGAATAAGTGAAGTATTCATTGATTTAAAAATTAAGATTAGGTAAGGTTGCCCCGCAATTAGATCCACCCCGTAAAAATGTTGCTACACAGAAAATCATTAAAAATAACCTTATTGTAGCTGAGAAATAATCATGTATGGCAAACAGTTGATGAGAAAATACAAATCAGATAAACTTAAAAATTAATAAAAGTATAGAACAAAGAAAGCCTGCATTAATTTGATTTTTATGCAAAATAAATCAATAACTACAGGTATAAAACCTATACATTTTATTAGTATATATAGAAGAATATATAGGTATATATTCCACAATATATACATATTTCAAACCATCATGTTGTAGAGTTGACTTATTTTGGCCAGGTAGCTACGACTCACATAAAATCAAAGAGAAAAATGAGAAAATTGTGACATGTTTAATTTGTAACAAGATTAACTTAAAATACTAAGCTTGTTTTGACATTGAAAAAAATATCAAGGTTTGATAGAGAATTGTTTTGGCCTTTTAAGCCAAACCATTTATTTTTATGTTATAGTAAGTAACAATAATAATTTAAAATCCTGCGAATTGTATTACTGACCACATAGTGCACACTTCATGGAAGCTATACCAAGTAGTAGTCAAATCTATGATAATAGCTTTCTTTTAATAACTGTAAAAGTGAAAGTTAAATTTTAAATAACTTACCACTATTTCTGTTGTAATTTCATGTCTGCTGAATTTATAAATTATGACATATGCAGAGACTCCTGATACACAGAATATTCTGCTCTCTGGACACCAGTAAATCATCTGAATGGCAAATGGGTCTTCCTCTACAATTTCACATGTTTGTTTTCCTTCTCCGACCTTCTGTTTTTCAAACACTTTTGAAGTTTTTAGCTTGTACAGCATCTGCAGAGTTACTATAAGACATCGAAGCACAGTTATCTTCTAATTTAAACTTAATTCTCAGATGTTATTAAAGCTTTACCAATATATTTGTTAAACCACAAAAGTAAACCTAAGTAGACAAAGTGAATTACATTTATCTAGTAAGCATTTAATGCCACGCTTTCATATAGTACAGTAGCTAAAGGGAGACTACAGGGAAAAAATAAACATTCCTTGAATATATACTACATACCAAAGAATATATAGTTGCTTTCTTGAGTCATTCTCAGAAAAGTCTCATGAAGGAAGTATTTTAATCATTATTTATTGATGAAAATATTGGGGATCAGAAAGTCTAAAATGGGAATATTGAAAATAATTCTTCCCTAGCAGAGACTCCTTAATTCTTTATCTCAGTTTTCCCCTTTCATTGCTAGATGAGAGGGTGATGGTATTCCTAGAGGGTTTACTCCTCTCAACAAATTTTTAGACACTCCTTGAGATAAGAAACATTGTAATTTACCAGTTAGCAATATTGGGAGTCCAAGAATCTGTAACTATTTAAGAAGGGATCTTTTCTGAGTGGCTCTGTGTCAAGAAAGGGTCAGATATAATCTCCTAAATTGTGTTTGTGAACTGTTTTCAAGAATATTTGGGGGAATATTTTTCCATTGGAGACCAGATGATAATAACTCTATAAAAGAACTATGATTCTACAAAGGATCCTTGAGTAAAGTTTTAAATATGAGTCCTGTGAAAAGTGCATCACCTGAATCTAATAATGAGAAACATTAGTCAAAACCAGACTGAAGGAGATTATATAAAATAATTGGCCTGAACTCCTCAAAAACCTCTATGTCATGAAATGAAGACTCAGGAACTTTTCCAGATTTTTTAAAACTCAGAACATACAATGACTAAATGCAAAAATAATCCTGGAATTTTTTGTTGTAAAGAATATTAATCTGTGGCCGGGCGCGGTGGTTCACACCTGTAATCCCAGCACTGTGGCAGGTCGAGGCAGGCGGATCACCAAGTCAGGATATCGAGGCCATCCCGGCTAACGTGGTGAAACCCCGTCTCTACTAAAAACACACACAAAAAAATAGCCGGGCGTGGTGGTGGGCGCCTGTGGTCCCAGCTACTTTAGTCAGGAGGTTGAGGCAGGTGAATGGCGGGAACCCAGTGGGCAGAGCTTGCAGTGAGCCAAGATTGTGCCACTGCACTTCAGCCTGGGCAACACAGCGAGACTCTGTCTAATAAATAAATAAATAAATATATATACACACACACATATACATACATATATATACACACACATATATATACATGTATGTATATATATGTGTGTGTGTGTATTTGCAAAAGCTGAATAAAATCCGCAGATTAGATAATAGTGTTGTGTCAGTGTTAATCTACTGGTTTTGATGACTAAAGTCTGGTTATGTAAGCGAATGTTTGTAGGAAATACACACTGAAGTATTTAGGGGTATGTAATGTGTCTCCAACTTACTCTCAAATGGATAAGAAAAAAAGCTATATGTATATATGTACATGTGTGTGAGAGAAAAATGTGAGGAGGAAAGAGAGAAAGAGTAAGAGAGAGAGCCGGGGAGAGGGAAAGAATATTTGGAGAATCTGGTTGAGAGGTATAAAACATTTCATAGTACTTTTTTTTTGCAAGTTTTTGTAAGCTTGAAATATGTCAAACTAAAATAGATTTTTTAAAAAATGGGCAAAGGATTGTATTGGGTGCTATAGCCTGGCTTCTGAGGTCAGGATATCATTTCTATGATTATTTATGTTACATAACAACAGTAAAATGATGTTGCAGACATCATTAAGGTCCCTCATTAGTTGACTTCGAGTTAATCAACAAAGAGCTTATTCTTAACAAGCCAAACCTAATCAGATGGCCCCCTTAAAAGAGGGACTGAGGCCCTCCCTGAAGGTAAAGAGACACTCTCTCTTGCTAGCTTTGAAGTAGCAAGCTACCATGAGCTCTGAATGTGCAAGAAAATGAAGTCTGCCAACAATGACATAAGCTTGGAAGAGAACCTTGAGTCTCATGAAGCCGCAACCCCAGCCAACACCTTGATTACAGCCTTGTGAGACCCCGAGCAAAGGACCTAGCTAAGGTATAATCAAATTCCTAACCCACAGAAACAGTGAGATGACAAATGGGTATTGTTTTAAGCTGTTAAATTGTGGTAATTTATTACTCAGCAATAGAAAACTAAGATACATAATAATATAAACTCAGTTATTCAAATTCATTTTGCTTTCTGTATTAGACAGTGTTTCACAAAGTTAGCGAACCAAGTAATTTTTTTTAGACATCCATTAAGTTGGAGATTGACCTTGATTACAGTAAAAATATTAAACATGCTGCCATCATTTGCAATTTATATTCTAAATGTGATAAAATATTTATTTAAAAACTACCTTCTCAAAATATTATTATGCATGCTTAATGGTGTTATTCACTCTAATAATTAAAGTGTTAAAGTGTTCTCTACATTTAATTTAATTTAATTAATTTATTTATTTTATTTATTATTGTTATTTTGTTTGGAGATGGAGTCTTGCTCTGTCACCCAGGCTGGAGTGCAGTGATTTGATCTCGGCTCAGTGCAACCTCTGCCTCCCGGGTTCCAGCAATTCTCCTGTCTCAGCCTCCCAAGTAGCTGGGACTATAGGTGCATGCCACCACACCCGGCTAATTTATATATATATTTTTTCTTTTAGTAGAGATGGGATTTCACTGTGTTGCCCAGGCTGGTTTCGAGCTCCTGAGCTCAGGCAATCCGCCTGCCTAGGCCTCCCAAGGTGCTAGGATTACAGATGTGAGTCACCACGCCCGGTCCTCCACATTTTAAAAGCCAAAAAGTGACTGAGGCGGTGGGAAAGGAGCATTGGCATCACTATGCAATGAATTTTGTTCCAGGAACAAACTCAAAGATTCATCAACAGAAAGTCTGTTGCCCTTTGAAGTTTCTCTTTAGGCACTTGCTTTTTATTATGTGAAATCAGAAGGGGACTTTAGAATGCATGAGTTTAGATCTTTTAATGCTCTTCTCTTGCTGATAGTTTGTTTGCTTGTTCAAGGGACTCTACCTTGTGGGCTAAGAATATTGTCAATATTCAACCTTCTTCCTCTGCTTGTGTGTTTATTGTAGTCTTCCTCAGAAGCTATTCATTTCTACAGCTTCAAACATCACTTTTATGCTGCTTCTTCATTGGTTTCCATTTCTGACTTTTCTCCCTACCTGCTGGATATTTTTACTTGAATTTTCTGGTTTTACTAAAAAATTCAAAGCTCTCTTATATTCCTTCTTTCCAAAAGAGTTACCTACATCTTCCTGGTTACTCATATGCAGAAACTTAGAGTCACTGTTAACTTGTTCTTCACTCCTATTCCTGTCAAAAGTTAACTATCTTCCAAAACTCACACTAAATGTTAACTCCATCAAAATACCTTTCCTGGATCTACCAGGTCTCAATAAGGCTCTCTCATTTCTGATCTAAATAATCTGCATTTAGAGTTCTTATATTGCTTTCCCTATAGTTATATATGTGCATTTCTTTACCTTTTCTAATGACCACAATTTTTCTGGAAGGGTATATGTGAGTATAATGAAGTCTTAAGTATCTTTGCATGACCTTCAACATTGAGCAGAGTACCTTATTTATTCTTTAAGTTACATAATTCTCAAGAATTTAAAAAGAGTTCTTACAGTTATCAAATCATTTGATCTTTGCAGGATGTGGTAGATGAGTGGGGAAGAAAAGAGAAGACTGGAGGGATATAAGCACTTGGCGAAGACCACACAGGTGGGACGTGAAGGAAATTCCTTGAACAGAGTTAATCTGACAAAGTTTGGTACTTTTTCTGATGTATCATGCCTCTTGTGGATATAACGGGTTGCTGACAAAGAGTGACTTAGTCTTGTTTACCTTATATTACAGAAGAGAAGTAAAGTAGAGATAATACTTTCAACTGATCTAACAATGTAGGTAGTGGATTTTTGTAACACAGCCACATATGTATGCTAAAAATATATCTGAAATTTTAATTGCCCAAACTAAAAAGTGGTAGTTGGCTATAAGTAAATACTAACCAATTGGTTTCTGTTGTACAGAAACTTGAAACTTACTTGCAGAAGCATCCCAAAATTTTATTGATCCATCTGCATGACTAGATAAGAAATAAATTAGCATTAATTAAAGTATACTAAATAAAAATAATAATCACTCCAAATGTACAGAAACTTGAGTTACTGTTGATACAATTTTGATTCAAAAATACCACGTTAATGAAAACTAATGTATGCTAAACCATTTCTAAGCTTAAAACAATGGTTCATTTCTTAAACAATATACTAAAATCTAAAGATTAGAAAAAGAACAATAATTCCTTAGACTTTACTGTAAAAAGATTATATGTGTAATGGAGAGCAATGAAACATGGCCCGTGGAAAGTGAACAACATATTTTCATGTAAAATTATTTATATTCAATAAAATGATAATTTTGATATTAATATAAATATGAATTGAATATCATAGTAAAATTGAAGTTAAGTTTCAAAATATAAAAGCAAATCACCAAATGTATCTAGAGTTGCATCATTATTTGGTAATAATCAAATGTCAATTCTATAAAAACTCATCAAGAAAATAGAAGAAGATATAATACTTCCCAACACTTTTGATGAAGTCAGCATTACTCTGACACCAAACCCACACAAAAACATTACAATAAAAGAAAATTACAAACCGATATTCCTCATGAGAATAGGCATAAAAACTGTCAACAAAATATTGGCAATGCAAATCAAGTAATATATAGAAAGGATAGTACATAATGACTAAGTGGGTTTTCTTAGGAATGTAAGACAAACACTTAAAGAATCAACTACCATATTAAAATTCACCATATTGACAGATTACAAAAGAAAATCCATATTGTTATCTCAATAAATGCAGAAAAAGCATTTGACAAGATTTATCATCCATTCCTAAAAAAACTTTCAGTAAACTGGGAACAGAGGAAATTTCTATAACCAGATAAAAGGTGTGTAGGAACAACCTACAGATATCTCCTAACATACATAATAATGAAAGATTGAATGTTTTCCCCTAAGATCAGGAACAAAGCAAAAAAAAATGTTCACTCTCACCATTCTTATTCAACATCTTATTGGAGGTGTTAAGCACTGAAATAGGGAAGAAAAAGAAATAAAAGGCATACAGACTAAAAGGGAAGAAATAAAATTATTTCCATTTGCAGATTTTATGGCTATGTAGAAAATCCCAGAGATTCTACACAAAGGATACTGGAACTCATAAATGATTAGCACAATTATAAGACACAATATCAATATACAAAAATCAATTGTATTTCCATGGAATAGCAATAGACATTTGGAAATAACAAAATAGTACCACTTACGACAGTGCCAAAACCAAGAAATAGATAAAATCTAACACAGTTTGTGCCAGATCTGTATGCTGAAAATTGTAAGATGTTGACCAAAAAATAAGGCATTAATAAAAGGAGATATATGTTATTGATAATTGTATCACGTATTAGATGTTTGTTCCCCTAAATGGCATATACATTCAGTGTAACCACAATTAAAATATGGTAAAACAATTTTTTGTAGAAATAAACAAACTGATGGTCATACTGCCCAAAGCAATGTGCAGATTCATCACTATTCCTATCAAACTACCAGCATCATTCCTCACAGAAGTAGAAAAAAAACTATTCTAAAATTCTTATGAAACCAAAAAAGAGCCTGAATAGCCAAAGTCATCCTAAACAAAAAGAACAAAGCAGGAGGCATCACACTACTCAACTTCAAACTATACTATTAGGCTACAGTAACCAAAACAGCATGGTACTGGTTCAAAAACAGACACATAGACCAATGGCACAGAAGAGAAAACTCAGAAATAAAGCCTCACACCTACAACCATGTGACCTTTGACAAGGCTGACAAAAACAAACAATGGGGAATGAACTCCTTATTCAATAAGTGGTGCTGGGATAAGTGGCTAGGCATATGCAAAATAGTGAAACTAGACCCTTACCTTTCACCATATACAAAATTTAACTCAAGATGGATTAACAATTTAAATGTAAGACCTCAAACTACTAAAATACTAGAAGAAAACCTAAGAAATACCCTTCTTGATATCAGCCTTGGCAAAGAATTTATGGCCAAGCCCCCAAAAATGATTGTGACAAAAGCAAAACTTGACATGTAAGAACTAATTAAACTCAAGAGCTTCTGCACAGCAAAAGAAACTATCAACAGACTAAACAGACAACCTACATAATGGGAGAAAATATTTACAAACTATGCATCTGACAAAGGTCTAATATCTAGAATCCATGAGGAACTTGAAAAAACCAAAAAGCAAAAAACAGATAACCCCATTAAAAAGTGGGCCAAAGACATGAACAGACACTTCTCAAAAGAAGACATACAAGCAGCCAATAAACATGAAAAAATGCTCATCATCACTAATCATCAGAAAAATTAAAATCAAAACATGACCAGGCACAGTGGCTCACACCTGTAATCCCAGCACTTTGAGAGGCTGAGGGGTGCAAATTATGTGAGGTCAGGAGTTCTAGACCAGCCTGGCCAACATGGTGAAGCCCTGTCTCTACTAAAAATACAAAAATTAGCCAGGCATGGTGGCACAGACCTATAATCCCAGCTACTTGGGAAGCTGAGGCAGGAGAATTGCTTGAGCCCAGGAGACAGAGATTGCAGTGAGCTGAGATCATGGCACTGCACTCCAGCCAGGCCAACAGAGCAAGTCTGTCTCAAAAAAAAAAAATAAAATAAAAAGAAAGAAAGAAAATCAAAACACAATAGGATACAATTGTACAACAGTCAGAATGGCTATTATTAAAAAGTTGAATAGTAACAGATGCTTGCCAGATTGCAGAGAAAAGGGAATGCTTAAACATTGTTGGTGGGAATGTAAATTAGTTAAGCCACTACTGAAAATAGAAAGCAGTTGGGAGATTTCTCAAAGAACTTAAAACAGAGTTACCATTTGACCCAGCAATCCCATTACTGGGTATATAAACAAAGCAACATAAATCATTATACCTAAAAGGCACATGCACTTGTATGTTCATTGCCATGCTGTTTACAATGGCACACGGAATCAACCTAGGCACCCAACAACAGTGGACTGGATAAAGAAAATATGGTACATATGTACCATGGAATATTACATAGCCATAAAAAAGAGTGAAATCATGTCCTTTACAGCAACATGGATGTTGTAAGCCAGCACAGGAACAGAAAACTAAATACCACATGTTCTCACATATAACTGGGAGCTAAACATTAAGTACACATGGACATAAACACAGAAACAATAGACACTGCAGACTACTAGAGCAGGGAGGGAAGGAGAGGGATTTGGGTTGAAAACTACCTGTTGGGTACTATGCTCACTACCTGTGTCTAATATGCCCACGTAGCAATCCTGCACATGTATCCCTGAATCTAAAATAAAAGCTGAAATTATTTTTTTAAAAGAAACTAGATTAGCCAAAGTAATTTTGAAAACTAAAAACAAAGTTGGAGAACTCAAACTACATAAGGTTTAAGTCTCACCCTAAAGCTACAATAAAGTTTTTGTGCTACTGGTGAAAAACAGACACATACAGCAGTGAAACAAGGTAGAGAGTCCAGAAATAGAAATGGTCAACTGATTTTTTATTTTGAGAGGTGGTTAGTCACTGAGTGGCTTACTCTATTTTGTTAATAGCTTTATTCAGATGTAATTTACATAACTGTAAAATTCAACCACTGTGAGTGTACAGTTTGATAATTTTTAGTAAATTTACACAGTTGTCACATTGACATCATCATCCAGTTTTAGGACATTTCCGTCACTCCAAAAAATTACTCATGGCAATATGGAACCATGTTTCCCATCCCCAGCAGATCCCCAATAATCTACTTTCTGCCTATATAAATTTTTTTTTTCTTAGAATGTTTATATAAGTGGAACCCACATAATATCTACTGTTTTTGTGTCTGCATTTTTCGCTTAGCATAATGTTTTTGAGGATAATCTTTCCTACATGTATTAATAATTTGTTCCTTTTTGTGGTTAAATAGTATTCCATTGTATGGATATACTCTATTTACCCCTTCACCAAATGATGAACATTTGGGTTGTTTTCAGTTTTTGGCTATTACAAATAAAGACTATGAATGACTTTGTATGTTTACTCTAATTATAAACTTACAGATATTTTTAAACTTTATTACTAAAAAAAATCTGCAGGATGTTGGTCTGAGACTCTATATACCCTGACAAAATTTAATTCTATTTTATTTTTCATCATGTAATGCTTGATATGAAAATAACAATGTATGTAACAGATTTAATATACAGAATATAATCGTATTGAAACCACTCAACCAAAGAACTAACATTACTAATAACTTGCATCTACAGATGTGTGGCCTAACAGAGCAGTCCCCAACCTTTTTGGCACCAGGTACTAGTTTTGTGGAAAACCACTTTTCCACAGACGGGGGTGGTGAGAGATGGATTTGGGGTGAAACTGTTCCACCTCAGATCATCAGGCATTAGTTAGATTCTCATAAGAAGCATGCAACCTAGATCCCTTGCATGTGCAGTTCATAATAGGGTTCGTACTCCTATGAGAATCCAATGCTGTACCTGATCTAACAGGAGGCAGAGCTCAGGTGGTAATGCTCACTTGCCTGCCACTTAACTCCTGCTGTGTGGCCTGGTTCCTAACAGGCCATGGACTGGTACTGGTCTGCAGCCCAGGGGTTGTGGACCCCTGGCCTAACATATTACTTATCCTGGAACAAGGTCCATGTGCCTAAGCAGAATGTTTTTCTCCTATTGCTAGGTGTAGTGTTTTGTATATCTGTTAGGCCCAATTGTTCTGTAGTGTTTTTCAAATACCCTGTTTCCTTCTTGATCTTTTGCCTAGTTGATCTATTCATTATTGAAAATGTGGTATTGAAATATACTACTATTATTGTGTTATTCTGTTCATTTTTTCAATTTTGTCAATGTTTGCTTCATATATTTTGATGCTCTGCTGTTACATTCATATGTGTTTGTACTTTTTATATCTTTCTGTTGGATTGACTCTTTTATTATTAGGTAATGT